AATTTTTGTTTTTCTATTTACTTCTATTTCTGTTAATATTTCCTCGAAGTAATCAAAGTTAAAGATGGTGTACAATATGCTTTCCAAATGACGCCCTTGACGTATTTATAATTTTTACGTGTTCAAGTTGATGGTAGAAATTGATTTTAATGTAGTACCCAAGGGAGGGTTCTCTAGCTTTACATAGAAACATTAAAGATATAATCCTACTATCTCCCTTGTTTCTCTAGACATTACATTCTACCACTTTATGGAACATTTTGAAATATGGTATGTAAAGCCTTCAAAATATCTAATAGCATTTGGAGAATTCTAACAAATAATGTTCACCAGAGACAAGGTAAACTGAAGGAGGAATTTATAAAATTGTTAGTCAACGCTATTGTCTCATTTTAGAGAAAGCAACAATTCTCATCTTACAAGAGAAATCCTGGTAAAAGAAAACTTACAGAGAGAAGCATAAATTCGAATTGTGGAATAGTTAGGTGACTGGGAGAGGGAGCTAGGGGAGGCGGACTAGGTGTAGACATTACACTTTCCTTCGAGCACTTGTAATTACAGCGACTTGGCCGAACAACTCGATACACTCCACTTTGTGTTAAAATGAAAACATCTTTCCTGTTATCCTCTCCAAATGAGAAAATGTATTCTAAAGCAGGAAGATTGCTATTAGGCACTGAGCTGCACCTGATTGGAGAACTTGGAGCACAGCTGAAAGGGATGTCAGTTGTAGAAAAATTTCCGCTGTCTTGAGGAGTTTCTGATGCTGCCCATATATGATTGGCATATAAATCTCCATACAAGTAACTGCATACAATCACTCACGGTTAGTTTGTACGAGTGTTACAGATTAAACCAAGTCCTAGTTACAATAGCAATGGTAAATAAAGAACAATTAAAAAACAAGTGAAGGACAGATTTAGAGAGATTGTTCACTAGTCGTTGCAGGCGTTAATTATGCATAAGAAGATGACTAGAGTGATCTCATGCCTCTCACCATGTGTCAGGTAGAAATGCCCCCCCTATAAAATATTAGGTCCACCTAATTGCATTGGAATGTGAATACGATTCTGATTAAAATAGGTCCAGAAGATAAGTAACCTATATGATTTAGCTACACACAAACAACAAAAAGTATTCTTAATTTTACAAATTAATGAAGAAAGAATTGAGCATTACCTTCCATACGTGCAGGGATCAGTCTTTGCACGGTAGAAATATCCTCCTGATATTGCTGCAGATCCTAGTTTATTTATCTCTGAGTGACTATATCCCAATATGGGCAAAATTGAATCGATGGAATTAGCAGAAGTATTTCCCCCTGGAGTTTGCTGGGGTTTAAAAACAAGAGGACCTTCATAAACCCGCCATCCATAGTTTCCCCCTTCGATATGATGTCTACCTCTTCATATTGATCCTGCAAGATTTAAGTTAAGAATTTATCCTATCAATGCATATTTAGTTAAAGAATTGGAAAACTGGCTAGAAATCTATCAGCAAATTAGAAGCTTTAAAGTATGTTTGAAAAATGATGACATCTCTAAACCTGTCCAACATCAGCACACAGGAAATAGGAAGGCCTTTCTGAATCAAAGCTACAACGCCACGGATTTCTTAAACCTAGGGCCCAAATTTCCAGCCCCAATTCTTTATCTTCAGAATATGGATTATCCTGTGGGATAGAATAGTTTCCCCACAAACCAAGTTTAACTATTTCCTCTTCACCTGAGAATCAAAACCATGATGAAACAAGATCAAATCACACAAGTATAAGAATTTAAGATTTGTAGGGACGAGAACGAGAAAAAATCAATACACTTAAAGTTTTATCCACTTGGAATTTTAAGTACAGAACTACAATTGTATAGCAGAAACAGAGATTTCATCATGCAGTATCTGATACTAGTGATTAGTATAATGAACAAGATTTTAACTTCGTTTTCTTTCTTAGCACGGTATATTCCACCTTACGGAACAATCCAAGGACGTATTGGTGTCAAAAACTCACGTGGTATAAAGTCCACATCAACCCTTATTATCTTTCCGAGCAATGACTTCTTATTTTGTGCAAAATTATAGGGATCTCCTTTGCTTCCACCATCACCCATCATGATATATAAATATCCATCGTCTGGCCCAAAGAGTATTTGACCACCGTGGTTTGCTCCAAATGGAAGCCCCATCGTAAATATTCTTCTTACTTCCAATGGCTTGGCCGTTTCAGCCTAGAAATCATATACTACTCAAGTCAGGTGCATACTAACAAGCATATTTGGCTAAGCTTCAAAGTCACCTTAAAAGTAACTTTTTCGATGTATGTCACTGCATACTTTTCAAAGTAGCTTATATGTTTTTGAAATAATTGTTAAGATGCATTTTTGAGGGGAAAAAAGGAGTGGAAAAGGTATACCAATGATGGATTTGAAGCAGTTCCATTAGCCGTAAACTCAGAAACAATGGTCTGATATTTGCAGTGAGGCCCTGAGTCTAGTGAACCTAACTGCGAGGGGTCGCATCCTACATCAGAATTACAAGCACAAATTCCACCACATCCCGGAGACTTCTCTTTGTCACAATTATACGATGCAAAAAACCGGCCATTGTTTGCAAAGTCTGGATGAAAAGCCATTCCCATCATCCCGAAACTAGTATCAAGATGAACTTGATCTGTTAAGTCTACAAATGGACTCGACTCATCAATTCCCATTACCTCTCCCGAATCCTGATCAGGAATCGTGGCCAACCAAATTTTGCCAGCTTGGTTGGAGAAGAAAGCCCGATTAGATCCATCGGGATGAGCTACCATATTAAGATAAGATCCATTGCCAATTTTCTCCAAACACACGCCTTTTGTTGGAGGCAAAGTATTGGTTTCGTTAAGAGAGACCGGTTCGCCATTAAAACAAATGGAAATCTCATCCGTGACACCACCAAATGCATTACAAAAATCACTTTTCGATTGCCATAGGTCAGTGAGCTTGGATATGCTGGCATTTTGTGGTACTTGAGCCTTACTTTGTAATGAAGGGGCGAAGGGAGAATTCAGGATCATTACATTTTGACAAGAATTCCATGTTGTTGAACAAAAGTCGTTATCTGACAAAGATGAGAGAGGTGCACCAGCAGTAGAATTGCAAAGGATTGGAACTGGGCGAGGCTCTGATTTTACCTTAAACAACTCTGCTGAGAATGGATCACATGTCTGCAAAGATTATGCCTTCATAATTGAAGTTATTTAGGTTTTTCTTATCGGAATATGAATAAGAACGAAAGACCCTTTTAAGCATTAAAGGTTTAATATAACGAATAACACTTTTACAGCTAAATTATACATGCTAGATGCTACAAACAATGCCTCGGTAACAGAATATCAGGAGAAAATAAGAAGAAAATTGTTTGTGAAGAATAAGAAGAAACTCTGCTTTTGACCACATAATTATTAAATCTCTTCAATAAAGACTAATTTAAATGGTTCCAATTTCGTGCTCGTAGGGACGTTACCGTTTTGTAGCATAGTTTGAAGAAATAGTTACCAAACTCGTAAATCCTAATTGTGGATAAATATTAAAACTTCAATCTTTATTCAGTTTCATCAATACAAGAATCCGTGCACCTAAGTTTACTCAAATTTTGAACCAAAAGAACTAATATTTCGCAATAAGGACTAAAAAATCCATTTTTTGTGTTGAACTTTCATCAAATTCTGAGTTAATTATGTATCTAAATATCTATTTTCCATAACAGGCAGGCATGATTATCAACATTTTTGAGCAATATAGTGAAGTACACTGAACGTAGACTTTTTTCTGCATAAGCTTCAAAAAATCTAGAAGTTAACAACTTACTGCACAGAGGATTGATTTCACAGCTGAGGCACAGGTAGAATCAGATATGTTCATAGCCTGAAATCTCTTCTGCAACTCCAGATCTTCAGACGGATTACAGCACGATTTTCCATTATATGGACAGAATGCTAAATTGCTCTTTGGAGTTGTAGGTGCTCCTGCATATGCCACATACAAACAAAGCAAAGAAAATTTAAATGATTTGACAATTACACCAGAATCCCGTCATGGGTTTATAAGCACGTTGGGTACCCTCCTTACAAACCACTTTTAAGGGTGAATTTACCAAAAACTTTAAAACAGGTACTTCAAAGTAAGCACCCCGTGCCTCATTACGGACGGGTGACTTAGGAAGCACCATTTCTAGTAGAAGATTGGTTCCTTAGGGTCTGGAAAAACTGAACCATCATAGACTTTACTCGTCTTGAAGACCATATATCACCATATCAAGTACCCTACCGTTATAAGCTGGTTGCACTGACGAATTTTAACAAAGTGCTTATAACACGAAAATGACGTTAAAGAATCAAGAATTCACACACGACTTACTCAAGTCAGTGCACAAAGGCAATGCAGAAGAAGGATAAAGGAACAAGAGCAGTACACAAAATACTGAGAGAATTTTATCCATTTCCACTGTTTTCCCAGAGAGATGAGATGACAATAATTACATGCAGCAACTCTTCAACAAAAACCCCCTTATCTACAGAAGAAAAGGTGGGATTCAATAAAATATACGCAAATCCTTCCAGAAGCCATTGAAATTTGACACCCTTTTTGACAAGAAAAAGCAACTCACTGTGATTTGAATTTTCCATTAATCAGTGCACTTAAACCTGAAAGCTAAATTTTGATATAAATAGGAGATGGCTTTTCAGTCAAGTTGAGCAATAATTCAAGACTGAGATTGACTTGTTTATGCACAAAATCTCAGTGGATGGAAGTGGTTAGAAAGGGCAAAATGTTTGTTTTGACAAATATACGTGTGTAAGATAAGAAAAAGTGGGTGATTGTTAGTAGTACAATTGGTATTATAACACTAATTTAGATGACACTATAAATATTATTAGATAAATAATATAATTTTACTTTTAATTGAAGGTATCACATAACGGTCATATAGACCGATGCTATAATTGAGTGACTATTTTAATTCATAGAAAAATAAAACTATTTTAATACTCATGTTTTACACACCAACACGCTAGCAAGATATTAAAATTTAGTGACAATATTAAAATTTCGCTTAAAGTAAAATGAATTTTTTACTTTAATATTTCAAAAATTGTAAGTGTCAAATATCGTGACAAGTAATATAATAATGAATAATGTTTCGATTGCGCCGAGAACTACGCTCAAATTGATTGATGATTTTTAGACTAAACTAAAAAGCTAAAAAAAAAAAAGGTAATAAATGGCGTTCAAAGCTTTGATTTGAAAAAATACAATGAAAAAAGGTGGTAAGAATCACGATTTCCCCGTAGTTCACCCAAATTTAACTTCGCATATCACATCGAGGTAATATTTTACTATGTGAATTCGAAATTTCTTAATATAATTGCTTCATATAAAGATGCAATAAATTAAGAAGAAATTCACAAAAATGGTTTCACAATTCAGAGAAGTATATGTCTCTATCTTCACTTAAAATCATGACCTTTATCTCTAATGCTACACATGTTCTATATCTCTGTTTCAAGTTTGATGAAAAGAATAAAAAAAAAAAAAAAAGTTAGAATTTTTTGGTACAGACATTTTCGATTTTATACTCGATGTTCAAAGATTTTCGCAATCTTTTTGCAGATTTCGCATTGCAATATATATTATATAATTTCTTTTTTAACCTGTTGAGTACGTAATTTCTGCATAAAAAATTTGAATGCTTTCATGCATCAATAGAAGCCAATTTCTTTATGTGACTTTATTTTCTTTGTATGAAAGAGCATCATCCTTGATAATTTTTTCTGAACTCAATGTAGTCAGATGAATAAGTATTTTCTGTTGTCATCGCTTAAAATCTGACTCACTGATTTTTATTTTTATTTTTTCAATTTTTTTTGCATCCGAATGTGGGAGTGCATTATTGAATATTGCCATTTCCTGATATAAAATCAAAAGATAAACGAATAACAAGTAGTAGAAGTAGAATAAAATCAGAAAAAAAAATAATAATAAGGTCTTAAGATTGTTATTTCCGGAGTATTAGTTTTTCCTTCTCTCAAGTTTAACAAGATTAAAACATGAATATGAATATAATTCTAGCCCATCGACTTCACAACATATTAATGTAGAATGGTTAAAAGAGAAAATCATAAATAATTAGAAAAGAGAAAAGAAAATGAAGAAGATCTACGAAAATATGTATAACTTTCAGCTCAAATATTGAATTTTCGTCCATCAGTACAATTTGGAAGCATTTTTCAATTTTACATAATTTTTTTCGAATGACGTTGTCAAACTTTCATGGTTAAGTTCCATCATTTAGAGCTCTATTTTAAAATTTTTCTATTTTGAGTCAATTTAAGGATATTTTCGTCATTTTTACATTATTTTATTTTTATTCAGTTTTGTTTAATAGTTTTTTAGTTTATTTGGACTTGTTTATAGAATTAGAACTTCACTTTCATTATGAATTATTTTGAGTCTATAAATACACATTAAGGTTGTAAAAATAATTCATTCGATTCTTGATTAATAAGATTTCAATTTTTCAATTAATTGATGGATTCTAACATTTATTTGGTGGATTTAGCCCCCGTTTGTTTCTCATTCTTCATTCATAAAAATGAAAAATATGACCGTTATCCATAACTTCAAGCCATCAATTTTGAATTTTTATCTCTTGTGTGTGGCCTAATAACGATTATATTTTTCATTCTCATTCTACAATAATAATAATCAAACGGGCCCTTAATGTATCCTTAAAATGATTGTGTTCCCTTCTATGTGTTTAAAGGCAATTAATAATCATCCCCAAGATAGAAAGAGATTTGTTTCTTACCAAAGCAAGATAGTAATCAGTAAGAATTCTAACGAATTCAATGTAATGTTTACGTACTTGTGAGATTCAAAGTAGGAAAGTTTGCATTTGAAAACGGTGTAATTTTTCTTGCAAAAAGGCATGTTATTTATAAATTTATTCGTGTTCATTCGAACGGTCTTCAAGTTTTTTCAAAAAGTGATGATGATTGAGATAGCCTTTCATACAAGTAGAGTTATATGTCCAAATCGAAGGAGTCTGTTGCATATGTCAATTAATCTAGAA